TTAAGTAGGATAAGTCCATATGACTGAAATTGTCATTTATTAATGACGAAAACTAATAAGATACAAAGTTACAAAACTGGGGAGATAATAAACATCCCCCAAACTATATAAGTGCTAAATATAAAAATAATAAAGTATGTTAATGAAATGTAACCAGGATTAATTATGAAAAATATGAGAAATCACAACAGCTATAGGAGCAAAAAGTTGGCGCAAATGAAAATAAAAGGCCAATAAGGCAAACAGTTAAAAAACCTGGGAAATACACCCAGAACCTAGTATACCAGATACCACCACAGGGTTCTCACTACTAGGCAAACAGTTAAAAACGTGGGAAGTACACCCAGAACAAAGAGCATAAAAACTCCAAAATGCATATCGCCTAGTCGACCAGAAACCCCTAATAATACTCCACCTGGTAATGCGGACACGGAGACAATCGGAAATAGGATATGAATAGATTACGGCATGTCAATGACAGCCAGGAAATAGGAAATATGAAAACTGCAAAAACACCTGGCCCGATAGGAATATAAACATAAATAAAATAGATGCACACAAAAGAAAAAAAAAATAACATGATGAGTGACACCTAAACAAAATAGGTAACAACTGTAGTTGCATAACACAACAATTATAAATGTATTGATAAGAACACGTGAAAAAAAGGGGGGAAATGAAAACAAATACTAGCCTGTGTGTGATCCAAAACTTGAAGTCATCCCGTAAAAGGAAACAGCCGTCGCCGAAACTTGAATAACAAATACTGGTGACTGGAGAAAAGTGAATATTGTCCAAATAAAATAAAGTCACCAAGTAACAAATAACCGTCAACAGCCGTCGCTGAATCTTGAATACCAAAACTGGTGGCTGGGGAAAACTGAATAATCCGAAGAAAATAGTCACCAAGTAACAAATAGTCGTCCCCAAATCTTGAAACCACAAAAGTGATGACTGGTAACCAGTGTACAAATAACAATAAAGAAACGTAAGTAATAATACAGTGTAGCTGCTAAAACTGCGGGTAAATATATCCGCAGCTACAAAGCTGAATGACTTCTCACTGAATGCAGCTCGATGGAATTAATCTCCAAAACATCTTTCATAGAATATACTTGTGTGTGCCTTGATACACAGCAGCTAAGACATTCCTTAACCCTGGACATCTGTTAACACCTTGTCTTGGTCAACTACTTAAGGTCAAAATGTGCAGACACAAGACCCAAACAAAACGTTGATGTATTACCAAAAAGTTAATAGCACCACTAAAACAAACCATTTGCTACATAAATACAATTAATTCTCTTAATTGTAGTTTGGTAGTTGGATCATAAATGAAAATTATCAAACTCAAGCTGAAATATTTTAGGTTACGGTCAACCTGGGCGAAGGCCTTCATCAGACTGATGTGAGTAGATGTTGACACTCACTGACCACTACTTGGTATAGCGGCCAGGACCCTCTTACACCCTGTAAATGTCAGGTAGAACGATCCCCCGTTTCTATTCATGGGTGGCAGGTGACGGATGATGTTGATAGCCTATCGTATCTTACGCGGTATGTCGGATAACTCGGATTCAAGGATATTGGTTTAATTCCAATCAATGTTATGGCCTGTCTCTATTACATGTTCAGAAATGACAGAGCTGGTATTGCCTACAGTCAGTGTCACTGATATATGACATTTACGAGAGGGTCCTGGCCGCTTTACCACCTAGCAGTCAGACATCTAAGCCGCTTAAGATGAAAGCAACTTAGCGAGGAATTCCTTGGGGACGGATCGATCCTGTTAGATCGATCAAGGCATGGGAACCCAGTCTTAAACAGGCTGTTACTATGACTAATTGAAAAACAGCTGATGGAATTCTTGAAACATTGAAAAACCTTAAATTAAAATTTAATAAATTACTAACTTAACGATTTCACTTTTCCATATAATTTTGTGTGGTCAAAGTATTTCGCCTTGTTAACCATAAATCCTAAGCAAAGGGACCTTTCCCAGACCCTATCATACTTACTGTGGATCGACAAAATCTCCAAATGGATTCTTGCTGAATTGCAATCAACTTAAGCAGTATAGCCGTATGGCATTCCTACTGAAACTCTTAGGGGGTAATAAAAACGATCGTTTAGAAGCTTCAGTTGGCGTGCCAGACATCTAAGCCGCTAAGGCTAAAAGTGATTTAGCGAGAAACCCTTTGGAGATGGAGCGATCCTGTTTGATCGATTTAGGTTTGGGAACCTTTAATTTAATCTTTCAGTTTTTTTTTTTTTTTTTTTTTTTTCTATATGACTAACCAAAATTTTGAAACGTATACAATATACCATATCGGTAATAATCATGTGTACATTTATACCATATACCAGTTGAATATCACACGCTTAATTTAGTGTTAAATTACAATAGACGAATGTGACAATTAAAGGGTAGGTAAACGCATATAGTATTTATAGAAAATAAATAAGAAAGAGAAAGAGGTAGGTAAACGATTGCCAGCGGAATATGTTGACTGGCTTAATCCCCCAGTCGACTAGGTTGGCACTCCTCTTTGGAGTACTTAAATAAACGACCTGTCTCTTGTGGCGAACTGTCTATTTGATCACTAGATTTTAGTTTCACGAGCACGTTGAACCAGTGTCAGTTGTTATTTCATTTAATTTGCTGTGTCGCGTGGTCAACAATTGAACGAAATACCGTATTATATTATATACCGTATATTATACCGTATTATATGGTCTCCTTTGTATTCATGAAAATGTGAGATTTTACAGTATATGCTCTCCTTGCGCGATTGTAGGTACCGGTAAACAAATTAAATGCGCTGTAATTACTGTTTTTTAGATGTTATTTGTAATAAAATCCAAGACGAGAAAAATACGGGTTATTTAATGTAAATCCTCAAAACGCTTGAAATAGATAACAAACCTGTCGTTTCGTATTGCCAGCATGCGGCGAGGTCATTATGAAGAAACCAATAAGGAACAGAGCTAATTTTTGTCTTGTACCACTCCCAGCCCTGTTTATCAAGTCAAAAGAAAGGATGAGATGCTCGATGTTTGATAACGATATCAAAACTGGTATTTACAATCAATTTTACGGGAAGAGTACCGTACGTCATTAATGGAGATATATGTAATAATGGTTATTGAGGCCCTAGAAAAATCAGGCAACGTAGATCTACATAGCCTTATGCTAAAGAAAATTGATACGTTGGTTAATAAGCGGCCACTGTAATATCGATTGATGAATTTCATTTTCATTTTAATATATTTCAAATATGGTTATTGAGCATAATGTAACTATGTGTAAATATGCACTCGTCACTCGTCTTGTCTTGTGACTTGCTGTGACTCTGACGCCCTCTAATTATTCCTTTGTCTGTTCCTTTGTCTATGTCCCTTTTGTTCTGTCTTCCCGCGTCTTTGTCATGTTACTTCACATTATAAAAGGCATTGGCGCCGTATTTTCAAATAGTGCTGAAGTTGCTGTTCGTCTGTCTGTTTCTATGTGGTAAGTTGGATGTCATCTAGTTAATTCTAGTTATATTTTATCTTGTCTTTTTCAACTCAATTCTATGGTAAGTCAGCCTTGAAATTAAAAAAAAAAAAATACTGTTCATTCAAATGGGTATGTCAAATCCAACGTGTAGGTGATTTGAAAGCAAAATAACAACGTCAAAGAATTCACTGCCGTCAATTGTATAATTTTTCCGCATAAGACACCAATAGACATACCCAATACATTTTCGATTTGAAAAAAATATGAATGATAAAAAATTCCAACAACTTAGGATAGGGCGCGCTTCCGGCATGTTAGCCAAGTTATCATATGGTAGTCAAATTCAGTCAAATTCGAAATCAAATTCCATTTAGGTGAGAAAAAATCGAATAAATGCATGCCATTTGTCTAATTGTTAACGGTTTGATCCAGGACGGATAGTAACCTACATACGTAGGACAAACTTAGGCATATAATAGTCCGCTAACTACCATCATCTGGCGCCATTTTCTACTTGCCTATATGATTCATATAAAACTTCCTTTTAGCTCGTTTTCAATAAATACCCATGAGGTTTAGAATATTCATGAATTGACAGACCGAAAACCTCCGCTTTTATATTATATTTCAGACAATGCAGAGAATGGTTTCTTAGTGACCGCTGCCATGGAAACAGCAAAGACATACACCGACTCCGACCAAAGGAATTTTTTTTTACATAAGCATTCTGCCTGTAGAACATGCCTTGTAGGTCTTGTAAGATGTTCTTCAGAAAGAACTTAAAACAAACTATCCCAATTTATTTGACCTCAGCACGGGGTTGTTAAATGGGGTGCTTGGTGATAGAACTGTCGAGACTGTGCTGTTTAGATTATCACCAAAACCTTTAATCGCCACCAACGGGAACAGCTGTATCCCGCTGGAAACCCCTCCACATCAGTAACTGTTGGTGATTTAGACCTCACACTGACTGTGCTTTTGTTGACGAACATCACCTCGTTGAACCCTTGTCCTCGGTTGAATGCATTAGACAACCCCCGTGGTATCAGCAGTATACTGATTACATTAAATTCAATCAAAGGTGGAAAGGGTTGGAGAATATGCTTGTCAGAAAACTTGGAAAGCAAGAACGAGAAGACTTCTTGTCATCGTACATACCAGTCAGATCACACATTGCTATCAAAAGTGAGTGCACAAGAGAACACAGTAACAATTGATCCGGAATTTGATCGTCATACACTGACGTCATCAGTGCAGAATAGAGTTGTGGCAGTTTTAATCAGGACAGAATACAACAGAAAGAAGAGATGCAATATAAATGTACGAAAGATAATGCAGAGGAGAAGGACGATCCCGTTATCTATAGCCAAGTTTTAGCTTATCTTCACAAGGGTTTGTTTCGGTATTCAACGAGCTTCGTCCAGGAGGGACAAACATGCTTTTATATACAGCACATCTTCACTAGTATTGTCAATCGGCACAAGGCCCACCCGTTCGTATGATGGAAGAATACTGCTATGAAGCAGTCCGACTGTCCAGTTTTAAAGACTTACCCAAATCAGTCCCGGTACCATCAACGCGACTTGCACGGTCAGGGTTCTATTACACTGGCAACAGTGATGAGGTAGCATGTTTTAGCTGTGGAGGGAGACTTAAGGAGTGGACCTATGGAGACAATCCATTTGTGCGACATAGTAATTTGTTCCCAGATTGCCCACTTATGAAAGGGACTGAGACAAAGAATGTTCCCCTGTTCCAAACAGATGATGCTATTTCTAATGGCAACATTGGCACCAATGATGATCCTTTCCCAAACTTAGCAAGGTCTTCACCACGTGACCATGGTGGTAATGCGTCCTTACTACTGTCAAACCAACAGGCACTATCCAGGTCACTGGGCATCAGTTCACTAGAAGTCGCCGTCCCGCAGATCACTCATGCCGGGGTTGCCAGTGGTGTACTCTCTAAGGAGAACACAGCTGCACCCTTAACTCCACCAAATATATCTCATCTGCCTACATGCATCCCTTCATGGATGAGAAATGAGTCTGACCGCCTAGCAACTTTCGTCAGCTGGCCCAGTGGAGCAAGTGTCCTACCCAGAGACTTGGCAAGAGCTGGTTTCTTCTATTTGGGCACGGAGGACCGGGTACAATGTGCCTTCTGTGAGGGGGTATTAAGGAATTGGGAACTAGGTATGATTACTTTTTATCGCTATGAACGTGATTCTATATATCCTTGCCTGTGCTGTGTAAATGGATTAAGCAGGAAAAGGGCCACTTATATGTATGGATATGAACATTCCGAAATTTATCAAAACAACCAATGCTCTAAACCTTTAAAACTGATGCAATATTGTCATGACAGATTAGTTTTATACATTGATTTGTAACTTAAGTGCTGATTNGTACGAAAGATAATGCAGAGGAGAAGGACGATCCCGTTATCTATAGCCAAGTTTTAGCTTATCTTCACAAGGGTTTGTTTCGGTATTCAACAAGCTTCGTCCAGGAGGGACAAACATGCTTTTATATACAGCACATCTTCACTAGTATTGTCAATCGGCACAAGGCCCACCCGTTCGTATGATGGAAGAATACTGCTATGAAGCAGTCCGACTGTCCAGTTTTAAAGACTTACCCAAATCAGTCCCGGTACCAGCAACGCGACTTGCACGGTCAGGGTTCTATTACACTGGCAACAGTGATGAGGTAGCATGTTTTAGCTGTGGAGGGAGACTTAAGGAGTGGACCTATGGAGACAATCCATTTGTGCGACATAGTAATTTGTTCCCAGATTGCCCACTTACGAAAGGGACTGAGACAAAGAATGTTCCCCTGTTCCAAACAGATGATGCTATTTCTATTTACAGCATTGGCGCCGATGATGATCCTTTCCCAAACTTAGCAACATCTTCACCACGTGACCATGGTGACAATGCGTCCTCACTACTGTCAAGACAACAAGCACTATCCAGGTCACTAGGCATCAGTTCACCAGAAGTCGCCATTACGCAGATCACGCCGCTGGAAACAAACATGATGACTCATGCCGGGGTTGCCAGTGGTGTACGCTCTAAGGAGAACACAGCTGCACCCTTAACTCCACCAAATACATCTCATCTGCCTGCATGTGTCCCTTCGCGGATGAGAAATGAGTCTGATCGCATAGCAACTTTCGTCAGCTGGCCCAGTGGAGCAAGTGTCCGACCCAGAGACTTGGCAAGAGCTGGTTTCTTCTATCTAGGCACGGAGGACAGGGTACAGTGTGCCTTCTGTGAGGGGGTATTAAGGAATTGGGAACTAGGTATGATTACTTTTTACCGCTATGATCGTGATTCTATATATCCCTGCCAGTTCTGTGTAAATGGTTAAGTAAGAAAAGGGTCACTCATATGTATGAATATGAACATTCCTAAATTTATCAAAACAACCAAACCTTTAAAACTGATGCAATATTGTCATGACATATTAGTTTTATACATTGATTTGTAACTTAAGTGCTGATTTTATGTTGTTGTTGGATTTAAAACGCACAATTCTCCTCAGCGTCAGAATGATGAAATGGATCACGGACTGTCAGACGTTAACATTTGCTTTAGGTGACCAACCAATGCAGGAACACCGCAAATATCTTTCCACCTGCCCGTTCGTCCTAGGACTGGAAGTTGGAAATATTCCTCTGGAAGAACCAAGCACAGCTCTTCCTCTTGCTGTGTCAGAATCACAAAGACAAGCTGTGGGAGGCGGCACAACAGGATCAGAGAGTAAGCATGAGTTAACAATAATTCTAACAGATCCTCATAAACGCTACCGCGAGGACATGATTTTAAAGACCTAGTTAACCATATTCATTTGGTGCAATGTAATGTATATTGACCCAATTTTGATACTATATAGAATTTGTACCCTAAACAAAAGTTTCTTGTCGAGAAATGCGTACAGGTACTACGCGTCGTTTCCCATCACGCAGCACAGCACAGCCTATTACTTCTGCTCGAATCGTGTTTCATAGTGCATTACAGGGTACATCTAGAATGCAGGTTAGTGCAATGACGACAACCACAGATGTTAAATGTCGTTAAACTGTCATTACTTAGCAAGTCGATCCACAAAACTCTCCTTCCCATGTCTTCACCCCATAGATGCCACAACTGAATCCACAGAAGGAGTACTAACAGCGAGACCTAGACACGAGAGATACGCCACTAAACAGGCCAGAGTTCGAACCTTTGCTAACTGGCCGCCATCTCGTATTCCGCGTCCTGAAGCTCTCGCCAGGGCCGGGTTTTTTTACGCCGGTAAGTACACCTTATATTTGACTGAAATATATCGATTAATTTATTAAGTATTAACATGTTCATATATCCATTGGTGTTGCCAAATTTATAGAAAACGAGACCCCTCAATATAATTAATATGCCATAACCTATAACGCCCCTTCTTAAAGCACACCAGCATCCCATATATTAAGGCAAAGTCACACAATGTGTAATATGTACATATGACAGTGTACTTCAATGTGCAATCCACAGCTCTCACGACGCCTTTTTTAGATTGTCGCTAATAAAAAGCTGACCATTTGTGAATAAAAATGGAAAAGTTATAATCTTGATAAGAGGAGTAACAGCACCCATTCAGTATATTTTTATTTTAATAACAGGCTTTTTTGACAACGTGAAATGCTTCTTCTGTGACGGAGGACTGAGGAATTGGGAACCACAAGACGACCCTTGGGCTGAGCATGCGCGTTGGTTCCCGTGGTGTGATTTTGTTCGTCAGTGCAAGGTGGGTGCTTTTATACAAATTATTAAGGGACAAAATTCGCCAAACAACCTGGTAAGCATATATTTAATCTCAGCTTTTAATGTGATTAAGATATAAGCACGGATTAGGGTAGATGACGTTTAAATAATTGGTGTAACTTAGGCGTTGTCTGATTTTCATTTTTATGACGCAGACATCGTCAATCAAGAAACCTTACATGACGTACATTATAACCACATTATACTTGATAAAAGACAAGGAGGGGATTGTCTTTTGGTTGTAAATCTACACACCATGTTAGCAAATTCCGTATACATTGACTATGCTTTTTTATATATTTTTTTCACGGGACATTGTCTTTTGATTGTAAATCTACATACCATGTTAGCAAATACCGTAAACATTGACTATATATATATATATATATATATATATATATATATATATAAATTGATCACGATTAATATTGATTTATTCAATTTAGTCTCCCCAGTCTCAAGCGCAAGCACAAAGAGCACAAGGTTAGTAACCCATTGCTTTCTGACAACGAACACAATTATCTTTTACCCGGTCCATGTGCCTTGCTAGATTTCTAAAGTTTGAAAACAGCTGTCACCTTCATACATAGACAATATTGTTCTTCACAGAATTAGCATATATGGTAAATGTGTGCGTGGTACATGTATATGAACAATGCCTTATTGTTCTTATTTGTGATTGGACCCCATCAAACATTCAACAACTTGGAGCAGTATCACTTTATGCTCGTAAATAAATCGCTGAGCATGCTTCTTGTCCCATCACGTGATCGGAACTCTGTCTGTATACAGGTGCGCCAGGCAATTACAATGTAGAGGCCAGGGAGATCAAAGCCCGCCTGGACACCCCGACAGTGCAGGCGGTCTTAGATATGGGTTTCAGACGAGATACAGTGCGTCAGGCGATCGAACATAGATTGAGGGATATTGGAGATGATTTCCCCAGTGCAGTGAGTTTACTAGATGCCATTTTGAAAATTGAGGATGAGATGAACCGGCAGACGGCGCAAGGTGCGGCGGCGATGGCAGTAATTCCCCAAGAGGCGCCTGGTCAACAGCCACTAGTCCCGGCTCTGGCTGAAGTACCAGCATCTGTGGCAACCCAGAACACATCTCAAACGCAGAATTCGGGTAATGTCTGAGCTGATAACACTCCGCTATGATAAAGTGCGGTTAGATATGTAAAATATACACAGAGTTAAATAGAACGTTCAGAAACATTGTTATTTTGAATGATTATGAAATAATTATAGGTGCTAAGGTAAATATTTTAATATCATTATCATTATTAAACCATCAACGCACTCGAATTGCTGCTACAGGGCGACTTTCTCAGGTGAATATCGTTGATGTTGTTCACAATAAGAAGCATCATTAAGCACTTGATTAAAAAAGAAGTGATTAAAAAAGAAGAGTAAACCTGTTTATTTGTGTCCTTTCATTTGTATTGATGTTATGCCATTATCACCAACTTTTTTGAAGTAAGTGTTACCAATTGTATTCCAGAGATCAAGTCTTTGCTTGAGGAAAACAAGAGACTGAAAGAAGAGCGCATCTGTAAGATATGTATGGACGAAGAAGTTAGCGTGGTATTTCTGCCGTGCGGCCATCTTGTCGCCTGTGTCCAGTGTGCACCTGCCTTGAGGAATTGCGCCATTTGCAGAACAGCTATCAAGGGCACGGTTAGGTCCATATTAAATTAATCTTTATGTAATCCTGGCCAAGAATAGCAAGGATTTCATCCAAATTGCACTATCATCTTAATATCTAAGTACTAAGCTGAATGAAATAAGTATCACAGATTCAATGACATTTCCTGATCATATATTGCAAAGTGTAGTAACAACTATTCTCATTTTGACAGTTTTAAGAGGTTTTGTACATACAAACTACATACGTCAAAACATTGGCATAGAACGACAGTCATAAAGGTTATTATTAAGAAAAACGTTATTTATGAACTATCCTTCTCATTGTTATTTTTCACAGCTTTTAAAGTCACAAAATTATTCAAAAGTGAATTGTATGCGGCTGTTTCACAATCAGGGGTACAAAATAGGGGTCACATTGAGAGAAAAATTAACTCTGATGCATCTGTTTAATTTTGTGACATATAAAAAGAATAACATCTTAACTATGACATCCACAATTTTTAGAACACAATATTAATTACTTTTTGTGCTATGCTCAAATTAACAAAACACTCCTTAGGCTATGATCTGGGGGTACGGACACTACACATTCAAGTAACTGATGCTTTTGTAACTGAAATATCATGTTGTTTACCAGTTATTTTTGCCAACATTCTAAATAATTCCAATGTTAAGATATAACAGCAGTACTTTAACCAAAAGAATACAAGTACATGTATTAATCAAAAAGTTTTTTAGAGAAATACAACAGCACGTTTTTCAGTGGATGCTGGAGCTTGGTTGTGTGTCATTCAGTTTGACTTTCATTCACCAGACTTTAATATAAACTTTTATTTCTGTTGCTTGACCTTTTTTATTTATTATTTTTTGTTTGTTTGTTTGTTTGCTTGCTTGTTTCAGTCTTGATTCCTTTTTTTTTTTTTTTTTGGAGTCTTTTCTTCTTTTTCATCTCTCGTTAATTTGCACCTCTTGTTCTACTGTTTTCAGGAGTGTTGGGTTTCTGCTTCTCCTTGACTCTCTGTCAGTAATTGCCCTAATTTCTTCTCTTTATTTTAGTCTTTCTTGCTGGGCCAGCCTATGGTGATTCTTATGTTACCTGCATTCAATGTCTTTTATTGATTATTAGATTATTAGCATCTTTACGGATATAAGCTCTTTGACGTCTTTTTTTTTCCAAATTATTTTTTGCTGACAGTAAAATTTTCAGGTTCCCTTTTTCTTTTCCTGTTTGGCTTTTTGTTTATTGTCATCCATATTTGATACTTCATTCACTGAGAGTATAATAATTGTACTGCTAATTATGCATGTATTGAAGTGTTCGTATCCCCTCAAAATATATCATATACATTAATCATAGAATATTAATCCATATGCAGTTTATTATTTTGCAATTACAGGGTTACTACTTAACATTGAATATTTTATCACTGTTATTATTTGGGTGTGGACTGGCAATTTTTTTGGCTTGATTCATCAAAAAAGTATGTCATTGACTGATAAAAATATCCAGTCTTGTATTGTAAGATATTTTGGTCAATAATATCAAATCTGACATAAGATGTCATTCAAAAGAAAAGAACACCCCCAGAAAATCATATCAACAGTTTGATGTCAGTATTAATTTTAAGCTAAGATATTAAAGAAAATGATAGCCTCCGGACAGTGATATGTTACACAGTCAAATAACTCATTACAGTAAATCATGAGAAGTCATCAATAGCGGGTATCACCTCCAGCAGCCGCTTGCAGCGCCCTCATCCTTCATGGCATACCCTGTGACTAGTTTTTTAAGAGTTTGGATGGGGATATCATTCCAAGCAGTGATATTTGCCTGTCGCAGTTCATCACTATTTACCGGCCGATGACAATAGCTATTAATTCTGTGAGTTAGTTCCGCCCACAGATTTTCAATCGGGTTCGTATCTGGGGAGTTTGTAGGCCAGGGCAGTTGCTGAACCCATTGGTTTCGAAGAAAAACAGTGATTCTGCGAGCTCGATGTGGGGTTGCACAGTCGTCTTCGTACACAAAGTTGTTCCTGAAGATGACTCTTACAAATCGAAACATTGTTTGCTGAAAATTTTGTCTCTGTAGGAACCCTGGTTGAGGTTGCCTGGTTGAGGAACCAACTGGTTCTGGGCACCGGCATAAAATGCTCCCCAAACAGAGACGTTACCACCCCCTGCTTGCACCCTACACAATCATCGTTTATGCCTCTCGTACACGTCGGCGGACACGGCGTCGATCGTCAACCCTAAAAACTTCATATCTGGCCTCATCACCGAAAACGACGTGATTCCAGTGTTTTGGCTGCAAACGCACATGGTCCCCAGCCCATTGCAGACGTCGCTGTATATGACCTGCTGTAAACAGTGATTTCCCTACTTGTCTTCGTGCAAAATAGCCGGCTTGCAGTAATCTCTTGTTCACGAGGGACCTTGCCACTCTTTTCTCAGGACACTGGTTGTCTTTGTACGACCAGCACGGCGCCCTCTAAGGAGAAGGCGATCCTGTCTTCTTGGTGTGATACGCGGGCGCCCTGGTCGAGGTATTGGAGTAGGTGCCCCTGTTGTAGCATTTCTTTGGAGGACTTTACTAACGGTTTCTGATAAATGTTGCATTGGCTGGCAATGGCTGTCCGTTTCTGGCCATTTTCTCTGACAGCAAGAATCCCATAGTAAGCTGCGTTGCTTAGCTGTCGAACCATATCTTCTCTAAGGTACCTGTCAAGTTTCAGAGCGATCCCTTTATTGCTTCTCTAAACACACTCCAAAGATTGGCCAAACCCATGCGTTTTTATACAAGGGCAGAAAATGTCGAAAAGACCACCCCTCTCATTTCTGACCACAGAACATGCAACTGCATGCATCAATTGTTTAGAAAGTTGTGTGGTAATTAGGTAACACACTTGGCTACACATGAAGTGACACCTCAGTTTTGGATTTAGTGAAGCTAGAGAGAAAATAAATATTTTGTAGAAAAATTAATCGCCAAAAAATAATTTTCCATATTAAGTAGTAACCGTGTAGCTATATTTGGCAATATATTCAAACCAAGATTGTTCATTTTCAATGCAAAGAGTAGCATCTTTACTGATATTATTTCTTTGCAAAATCTCTTGCCTGACTCTAATTAATTAGTATCCCTATTATATACGTTTTTTCTAAACATCATAAGACATGAATGCATTTTATATAGTCTAGAACAATATTTTGTACCATATTTTGAAGTTTTATCATCATTGATAAGTAGCTAGTTATCCAAAGGTTAATGTATAACTTGGGGGTACGGACACTACAGTAGGGGTACGGACACTACATTTGGCACCAAATTCTTGCATATCTTTTCATAATAAGGGGTCATGTGCTATTTTCTTCCTGCAAAATAAATGTCAGTGTAGACAATATAGAATAATAAAATCAGACAGAATATGCTGTGATTCCTAAATGAAACAGATGGGGGGGGGGGGGGGGGAAGGGAACCCTAAAAAAAAGGGGGACACAAGGGGGCC